TTCGTGTAGGATGAGTTCATTCGCCATCGAGAGAACATCCATCCAGTTGATGACACACAAGATGTTTTTGGTGAATAGTCTATGGCTGATGACAATGCCATTTATTTTGATGTTGTCAAAAGAAGCAAAAAAGGGTCATGTGTATGGATTGGGACAATTGGGTGATGAGTTTTTGGAATCAACTCAATGCACTCAACATGATCCTAATCCTAGCATTAATTATCAGGAGGTCATTACTAACCTCAATGCAGAGTTGGCACAAAAAAATATAACAATAGAGTCAATTCAATCAGAGTTATCTAGGACCCAAAACATATATTCTTTAGCAAGTTGTTAATCACTTGGGATTCTCACCTATGACATTTGGTACTATTCCATCAAATCAAGATGGTGATCAAGACATTGGCCCTTCCATTGATGATCATGGTGACCCCCACACCATTATCTACCCACAAACCCACCAACTTAATATAGGATTTCTTGTGGCATTGTTGACTTACTAGTTTACTTTTATTTTGAATACTTGAAGTACTCTTTCATTTTTAAATTTCTTTAGTTGTAATTTGAAGACTTTAAGCTTTTGGATTAACTTTTTTGTGGTATTTTGAAGAATTTCATGTCCTATATTAAAGTTTAGTCAGATTATGTGATTATGATTGTCTTATTATTGGTTGTAATTGTATTTGTTAAATACAGGTTTTATTGGATGGTAATATATAAATACAAATAGAACTAATTACTGTACAGGTAATTTAGTGACCGAAAAATCAGTCACTAAAAGGATTATATACTTTTCTAATTAATATATTAGTCGCTACGTTGATATCTAATCACATCTGTTTCATTAAATTTGCCACCAATTTAGTAACCAAAATCTTGGTATCTAATTTTGTGACTGATATAATCGGTGGCCATTGAAAATTCAAGTTAGTGACCGATATAGCGACTGAATATAAAATATGCTATTTAGCAACCACTTAAACTCATCGCAATATTGGTAACTTTAGTGAATGAATTATATATTTAGGCTACCCCATTTGTCATCGATTAAGTTAACTTAGCGACCGAATGATATTTTTGGTCGCAACTATATTTAGCGACCGAATTTTTTAAAATTGCAACCGATATTTTTGGTTGCTAAATAGGATTTTTTTTGTAGTGACTCATCAATATTTATAGAACCTTCTGATAGGTTTGTCTTGTCAATTTCTGTAGAGGTATATTTTTCTGCTGAAGGACATCATGAATTTGCTTATGAATTTATTTTATATCTTCACCTAAAATTTTTTTGAGTACTGTGCACTTTATATTTAATTTTATGTTTCTCTTATTTGTATTCAAATACTTATACAGATTCTCTATTTATTTGCACTAGACTGGTTCCAAACCATTACAGTGGCCCACCTTGAAGTAGTTCTCCGCTTTATGTACATGGCCTAAGGTCAAGCTTGCTTTTCAAGGAGAGGTGGAGACTGATTCCCAGAAATTGCTGAACTTGGAGATGTTATAGCTGGAGAAGAACGAGCGTTGAAAACAATAATTTAAATTTGAAATAAATTGAGTGAGTAAAAATTTAAGCTGATATTTTAAAAATTTGTAATGTTTGAAATATTATTTAGATTACATATTTTTATTTGTTTTGATATTTTTAAGGAATTTTTTTCTTATTTTATTTTTTAATTAGGAGGAATATATGATTCAAATTTTGTATTACAATTTTTTTCTATATATAGAGAGTCAAGAAATAAAATATGTGTGTTTCGTTTAAGATTCTTGAACGTATGAGTAATTTTATTGTATAAGGACGATTTTTTTTTCATTAGTGGCATCAGAGTTGTGACAAAGAACACACAAAATTTGAGAAACCTTTGTATGATGATAAGACAAATTTTATGATTTGGCAATGTACCATCCAAGATATTTTAGTGCAATATGTCACACCCTCTACCCCAACACACATATACAATAATAAAATATATATATATATATATATAAACTTTTTCATCATTAAAAATCATATTTCCAACCACGTAAGGGTAAATAGTTCACATTCATAAACTTAATCCAAATAATATGTCGATAAAATTACAACGAAATAAAACTGAATTTTCCAAAATAATTGAATAAGAACATCTTAAACTAATCCTATCTATGTCCCGATGTCACATGTCCTATCAGAGCAAAACCCAACATAGAAGCCTAAGCTTCATCACCAACATCCTCAACCTCACGCTGATGATCACCTGTATAAAAGTCAAAACAAAACAACACGAGAAAAGGGAGTGAGAAACATCTCACTCTGGCTCACAGTGTAGAAATATACACCGGATAGCCAAACACAAACAAAACAAGTATAACATAAATAAATTAATAATAACATCACACTCATCTAAGACATAAACCATCACTTTATCATATAACATTAAAAATGCATAAGTATGGACATGGACTACATATTATCATGCATGTGGCGCCAGTAAAACATCACATGGCATATTGCCGCTAGCAATACACGAAGAGTGTAGTCTAGGAGTACTTGCTGGGTCACACCCTTTGCGCACTCTCACTAGAAGGATATACTACCAGAGTCTCGTCGGAATAGCTAAGCCGCGCAAGATACATCCCATGCACACAATGGGCGAGACTGGGACTTCCAAACTGAGTTATCCCCAAGGACTAATCCCCAAAGCTTTTACACTAGGGGGCCTTCTCTGGCGATGTATTCCATATCGTACCCTTAAAACACTTATGCAAATGATGTCAATCAAGACTCTATGCATTCTCATATCACATTATCATTTCCCATGGTCATTTCACATTATCACATTTCGTCATCACATTTCATTATCACATTTCATATCTCATGTGAAAATCACATTTCACATTATCTCATCTTATTCACAAAGAATCCACAGAGCACTTTAATTTATATCAAAACTCGTTTATTTATAAAATTAAATACATATTTTTAATTCTCATCAAACTAGGAATATAACAGAACAATCAGAAATCTAAACAGAAACTATTCATATTTTGCCTATTTCTCATAGGGTTTACCGCACGAACCCATAGAGCACTCTAAATCATATCAAAACATATTTATTCTTAAAATTAATCACATACTTACACATTACATTTAACAAGGAATACAATAGAGAAATCAGATAGCAAAACAGAAAACTTTCATATTTTGTCTGTTTCTCATAGGGTTTCCCATAAGAATCCACAAAGATCTCAAATCATACAATTAATTGTCTATAAGAAAAATAATAATAATAAATAGATGCAATGGGTGAGAAACCCCTCATACATGAGCATACAAAAAAATACAACACACACAGGATTGAGGGCCAATCTCACTACCCAACATATATTCCCACACCCAGAGCAAGATTTCTCACTCCCCAGCCCCTTACCTCGATAAGCAGGAGCCGAATCTTGTTGGTCGCCCCCTCTAGGTTCCCCTTCGTCTTCAGAGAGGAAGGAGGAAAAATATTAGAAAATGAAAAAAAATGAGTTTTAGAGAGTGCAAAACGCTCTATTTAAAGGAATCAGGCCGCGACAAGAACGGCCCGTTCCGAATCCGGAACGACCCGTTCTGGGCACATAGAACAGGTACAAAAGCCTCTCCCAGAATGGCCCGTTCCAAAACCAGAACGGCCCGTTCTGGGTCAATAATTTATTCTTTAAAATCACATCCAGAACGGCCCGTTTCGAAATTGGAACGGCCCGTTCTGGGTTAAAATTTTGCCCACGGATGCTCAGTTGGAACGGCCCGTTCCCAAACTAGAACGGCCCGTTCCGGGACTATGAAAATCCAGAATATCTGATTAATAAATAAATAAATAACATATATATATATATATATATTAAATTAAAATAAAATATCAATACAATTTAAAACATGATTTTCTTCAAATAATAATTATAACAAAATATCATAATTAATAATATTATACAAAATAATTTTCATAAATGATTATTATTAAAAACCTTTAAAAATTCAATCAAACCCATTTAATTAATCAAAATAATTATAAGGAAATAATCTTCATAAATATAAAAATAAATAATAATTATTCATAGTATTAGTAGAAAAATTCAGGGTGTTACAATTCTCTCCTCCTTTTAAAAATTTTGTCCCCGAAATTACCTGAAGCAAATAAAAATGGATAAGTGTCCTGCATTTGACTTTCTAATGTTCCACCTTGGACTTCTGGAATACTACACACAAGTCCACAACTTCCTCTACTCCTCTCTTCACCTTAGACCACCACGCTTCCGCTACGCTATTCTCATACATCCTCATAAGGTCCTAATTCATCTAATAGCTCCTGAGTGAATACTAAGAGTACTCTTATTGCCTTCTTCTAAGATCTGTCTTTGGTACACAACCATCTCTCCTTAGGAATTCTAATTTTCGTTAGACTTGGTAGAAGTGGTCCTTGATTGGTCTTTGGTACCTCTCAAGCTTTCACCTTACGAATCCGTGTAGGTAGTATATTTTTGTTCTTGCAATTTAATTGGGTTTAGTTTCTAATTCGTCTAGTTATTCAACATATCACAAATCACAAAAAAATATTTTCATTGAAAAGATTTTTGGTGAGGATTAACTACAAGGGGGATTAGTAATTTTTACTTGAAGAGGCTTGGTTATTAAGTGACTCTTAGTAGCTCACAGCACCAAGTTCATTTTTGAATGATCCTTTGTGAAGTTTATTGTCTTATGCTATCAATATTATGATAAATTGCCCTGTAGCAAGGTTTTAAAAAATGTTTGCGATTGCAATTTTGGCCCTAACATTAAGGCTTTTGGACCGTGTCTATGTATGTGATCATAATTGCAATCACATTTGTCCACAATTTCACTCAGCATCCAAGATCACCACAAAACTACAATCATAATTTATGGACCGTGTTTATATATGTGATCATAATTGCAATCGCATTTGTCCACAATTTCACTCAGCATCCAAGATCACCACAAAACTACAATCACAATTTAAAACCTTGTTTGCTGTGTATTATTTTGTTGAAGTGTTAACATTATTCATTAATTCAAGTAGCATTTTCTTTTTTGCTCTTCTGCTTTAGGTTAATTTAGTATGTTATGTAGGTATAGGCAGCTCAACAAATTTGCATCATAGAACCATTGAAGAGAAAACTTGGTTAGTTGACATTTTTTAAAGTATAAACTCTTCCTCCAATAAATCACATTAACCTACTATATAATATGTACTGGGAGGATCACATTAGCCACGTGAAAGGGCACATGACACACCCTCTCAGCCATCGAGACGGTCGAGACAAAAGTGTTTTCCAAAGTACAGTAGTCTCGGGCATGTCGGCCATCGAGACGGCTGGGATGCAAGGACTTGTACATCACATGGTTTAGCATAGGCTCTCGGATGCGTCGACGGCCGAGATGGCTATAAGGCCCCTTGCGCCCAAAACGTCGAAGTCCCGACCCTTTTCCTCTCAGCTCGGTCAACGACCGAGACGACTAAATA